AAATTTTGGAACTGAAAAATTAATTGAATGAAATACAAAATGCATTTGAAAGCTTAAATAGTAGAATATATATAAAGCAGAAGAATCACAGAACTTAAAGATGTTTCTTTTACAATAATCCAGTCAAAAAGAAAAAGGAATGAGCAAGGTCTATGTGACACTAGGACACTGTATTTCATACAGTGATGAAATATCTGAGTTTTCAGAGTCCCAGAAGGCAAAGAGAACATGAAGGGGTTAGAAAATCTATACTACAATATAACAGATGAAAACTTTCCAAGTCTAGCAAGACATTGAGACATGCAGATACAACAGGCTCAGAGATCCGCAAACACATGCAATGTAAAAAGGTTTTCTCCATAGCACAGTATAGTCAAATTGCCAAAAGTCAAAGATAAAAGAGAATTATAAAACAGCAAAGAAATAAGGTCTCAACCAGGTGTGTTCGACATGTAGGCCATGGATGACATGCTGATTTTTTTTTCTTTTTTTGGCTGGGGCTGGGTTTGAACCCACCACCTCCAGCATATGGGGCTGGCGCCTTACTCCTTTGAGCCACAGGTGCCGCCTGACATGCTGATTTTGTGAGAGGATTTTTTGTGCTTATCTGTGGTGTCACATATCATGAAAAGTATGCATGTAACTTTTCTTTTGTTAATCAGCTTTTGTTAGTGTTTGTGTATTTAATGTGTGGCCCAAGACAACTCTTTTGTCCAACGTGCAGCAGAAAAGAAAAAAGGCTGGACACCATTGATCTAGACATTTATAAAGGAACCTCCATCAGAACAACACCTCAGATTTATCAGTAGAAACTTGACACGGGAGAATGAAATGACATATTTAAATTGCTAAAACAAAAAAGCTGTCAGTCAAGGATACTATGCCCAGGAAAGTTATCCTTCATAACTGAAAGAGAAATAAAATATTTCCCAAACAAGAGTTGGAAAAGCTGAGAGACTTCATCTCCAGCAGACCAGTCACTCTACAAGAAATGCTTAAGGGAATCCTATATGTGGGATTGAAAGAATGATATCTCTCACCATGAAAGTACATGAAAAAATTAAAACCACAGGTAGAACAAACATACAAGGAAGGGATAAGACTCAAATGTTACCACTACATAAAACCACCAAACCACCAAACCACAATTATAAACAATAACAGAGAAAAAAGGAACAAAGAATATAAGAAAGAACAGATATTAATTAATATAATACAGAAATAAGCCCCCATACATCAGTAATAGCCTTGAATGTAAATAGATTAAACTTTCCACTTAAAAGATATAGACTGCCTGAATGCATTAAAAAACATGCTGCCTCTAAGAAACTCATCTCACTTGTAAAAACTCACCTAGAATGAAAGTAAAGGGATAATAAATAATTCCATGCATCAAACAGGAAGGGACTGGGGCAAATAATAATAATAATCTTTTTTAATTCTATGCAAATGAAAACAAAAAGCAAAGGCAAGTAGCTATACTTATATCAGATAAAACAGACTGTAAGTCAAACACAGTAAAAAGTGTCAAAAAGTTCTTTATATAATGATAAAGGGATGTTATATAATTCAGCAAAAGGATAATAACTTTAAACATATATGTACCCAACACCAGAGAACCCAGATATATAAATCAAATATTAATAAACCTAAAGAGAGAGATACATGCCTATATAATAGCTGGGTACTTCAACACCCCATTATTAGCATTAAACAGATTACATAGACAGAAAATTGACAAAGAAACATTAGATTTAACCTTCACATGAGACCAAATGGACCCAACATACATTTACAGAACATTTCATCCAACAGCTACAGAATACACATTCTTTTCATCAGTACACGGAATGTTCTCTAGAATAGACCATATGTGAGGACACAAAAAAAGTCTTACCAAATTTAAAAACATCAAAATTTTATCAAATTTCTTCTCAGAACACAACAGTACAAAAACTAGAAATCAATCACAAGGGGAATGTTGGAAACTGTACAAATCCATGAAAATTAAACAACATAACATGTTCCTGAATGACCACTGGGTCAATAAAGAAATTGAGGGAAGTAAAAAAATTTCTTAAAACAAAAGAAAATTGAGACACAAACAGCAAAACTTATGGCACAGAGCAAAAGTAGTACTAAGAGGGAATTTTACAGAATAAGTGCCTCCATCAAAAAAGGTAGAAATATTACAGATAAACAATCTAATGATTCACTTTCAAGAAAGAATGAGAAAAGCAAGAATAAAGAAAACTCAAAATTAGTGGAAGGAAAAATATAATAAAGATCACAGCAGAAATAAACAAAATAGAGACTATAAAAAAAGAATCAACAAAAATTAAGTTGGTTATGAAAAGATAAAATTTATAAACCACTTGCTACATTAACAGACAAAAAGAGAGAAGACCCAAATAAAATCAGAAATGAAAAACGGGACATTACAACTGATAACACATAAATATAAAAGATTGTCAGAGACTATTATTAACAAATAGCAAGCTGGAAAACTTACAGGAAATGGATATATTTCTAGACACATAAACTTACCAGGATTGTATCTTGAAAAAATACAAAACCTAAATAAGTAATGAGATCAAAGCAGTAACAAAGTCTTCCAACAAAGAAAGTGCAGGAACACCCTTATGCTGATGACAGTTGGACGCAGAAAGAAATAAAAAAGGAAATCATTAACTTCCTTGAGTATAACAACAATGAAGACACAAGCTACCAAAACCTGTGGGAAGGAAAATTTAGAAGCCTACATTCAAAAAACAGAAAGAGAGTGCATCAACAAACCCACAAACCATCTTATGGAATTGGAAAAAGAAGAACAATCTAAGTCTAAATCCAGCAGAAGAAAAGAAATATCCAAAATTAAACCAGAGATTAATGAATTGAAAACAAAAGAATCATTCAGAAAATAAATGAAACAGGGAGTTAGGTTTTTGAAAAAACTAAATAAAATAGATAAACTTTTCACCAGACTAACTTGAAATAGAAAAGTAAAATCTCTACTAACCTCAATCAGAAATGATAAAGGGGAAATAACAACTGATGCCACAGAGATATAAGAGATTATCTCTGAATACTACCAGAATCTCTATGCCCAGAAATTTGACAATGTGAGGGAAATGGATCAATATTTGGAATCACACTTTCTCCCTCAACTTAGCCTGGATTAAATAGATCTCCTGAACAGACCAATTTCAAGCACTGAGATCAAAGAAACAATAAAAAATCTCCCAACAAAAAAATGCCCTGGTCCAGATGACTTCACACCAGAATTCTATCAAACCTTTGAAGAAGAGCTTATTCCTATTTTGCAGGAATTATTCCAAAAAATTGAGGAGGAAGGAATCTTCCCCAATCCATTTTATGAAGCAAACATCACCCTGATACCAAAACTAGGAAAACACTCAACTAAAAAGGAGAACTTCAGATTAATTTCACTAATGAATATAGATGCAAAAATT